ATAATTGCTCTTACCTAAAAAGGTTGCTGAGGGGATGAGGCCGGGTGATGTACTGAGGGCCCCCAACCCAAGTCCTGGCAGGTGGGGCTCCACCCATGCTGGGGAACTGGAATCTCGCCCTAGACCCAGCTGATGGCAGAGCCTTCCTCCTTGTCTCTCACTTTCAGGCTAATCTGACACCAAAGCACCCCTGGGCCACTTCTCCTTCAGCAGGAGACTTCTTTGTCCTGTTTAACCACAGGTGATCTGTCCCTGGGGCCCAAACTATTCATTCTCATTAATGGGAAGGCTTGATGTTCCTCCTGTCCTCCTGTCCCCATGTCCCCTGCTTCTTATGTCCAGAAACAATGGGAGCAGAAATGCAGGAGAAGCTCTTTGCCATGTAGGGAGGAACCCTTCTCCCTAAAGCTTTCTCTGCCCATGGGGCCTTCCCACCTGCTGCTCTCTGAATGCCATCCCATACCCACTCTTGCATCAGCTACTTGAAGCTGGAGTTTTTGGTAACCTGATATCAGTTCAGTAGATCCCTACTGAGCAGTTATTTTTTCAAAAAATACAGTCAGCCTGTGACTTGAATCCTCTTTTAATTTCACATTTGCTGTATCAGGCACACATTGTCTATTGTAGATGAACAGAAACTTTTTTTTTTTAACCTCTTGTAAATTTCTGGTTTCTGCTGCCACCGATTTCTTCTTACCCATACCTGTTTTCCTCCATAATGGAGAGGTGGGATTCAGGGTATAAAATAGAAACCCCTGGAGTCTAATTGGGAAAACGCTCATGGGGATAAATGAAATGATAGAGACTAACAGCAGTTCATGTCAAAAAAGAGACCCAGGGGTTTTAGGGGGCTAACTTCAACACTTGATTTGGTCAACAAATGTCAGTAATTGTCTACCCCGTGACAAAAAAAAAATTATCCCAGAAAATGAAGTACCAAATTGATGAGATTTGGCCCTGCTCTTGAGGAGGTCCCAATCACATTAGGGGGCAGGTTTATATCAGATGACTGAAATGTATTGTGATACCTGGAGTGAGGTGAGAGAAAACACTCAGGCGCCTGATCTGGCCTGGGGCAAGCCCAGGAAAGGTTTTACTGAAGAGGGGGTGGTTGGGTGGGGTCTTGAAGCATGAATAGGAGTTTGAAGAATAGGTAAGGAAGAATGGAGATTCTTAGGAAGAGGGAGTGGCATGGATAAAGAACCAGGCATGAGAAAAACAAGGCCTGTTCAGAGATTGGTAAGACTTCCACCTTTCTGGAGGAGAGGGGAAGTAAGTAGTGGCAAGAGGCAGAATCTGGAAGGTGAGCTGGTGTGCCAGGGATGTAGAAGTGTGCAGTGAGAAGACAGCTAAGCCAGGACCCTTGCAAACAGCAGCCTTGCGAAGGTTGGAGGTGAGGTGGGAGTGAGGTGGGGGCAGAAAGAATCATCTGCCAGGAGGGCAGAGAACCTGGGGCGGGGGGTGAGTTGCAGGATGAGCCAGACAAAATCTGAGGCCCTGGAGGAGCTGAAGAGCCGGGCCCCTTGATTTCTCTGTTGTTTCTACACTTTTTGGTTGCTGCTATTGCTCATAGACTTCTTTTAAGTCCTAAATTTCCCCGAAACGGTCCATTTAGAGGGTCTGTGGCAGGTCATGTTGACAGGAATGAAGGCTCTGCACAAAGTAGGTGGTGAGTAATAGTAGGCTCATGAACAACTCTGTCATCATTTGCTGCTACCATTCCCATCCACACTCGCATCTTAATTTTATTTCCTCCCACAGATGGGCAGGCTTTTGAAATTGTAATTTGGATCTTGGTACGTTTCTGCTTAACAATCCTTCCAGAGAAAGGCAGAATCCATGCTGCACTCCACGTGGCATGGCCCCCAAAACCATCTGTGGCCTGGCCCCAACCTCTTCCTGGCCTTCTCGGCCTGGCCACCCTGGCTTCCTCCTAAGACTGGAGGAGGTCAGACTCCCCACAGAGCCTCAGGTGCACACCCCGCCTCCCTGCCGCATCTCTGATTTCTGCCTATCCTCAGTTCGCACCTCAATGTTCCTTCAGGAAGCTATCCTGGGAGCCTCCTCCTACCCTGTCCTTTATAGCACTTGAGTCTTCCCGCTTTCCATAGGAAATGATCACACTTGTAAGCAAGTGTTCAGGTGACTTTGTGGATATTTTCATGTCCCCCTGCCTGTCCTGCCACCACTGAGTCCCTCACAGATCTGTGTTGATGCATATTTGACCACCCAACAGCTCGGCTGGCCCCATTTTCTCCTCTGCCTCCCGCCATCATCTATGTCCACCTGGCTCCCAAAGTTCTGCTAAGGCCCCCGCCTCCTCTCGGAGCCTCCCTGAATGCTTCTAGCCCCTGGAGTATTCACTGCACTGCACAGATCACTCTGCGTCTTTAGTTAGCTTGTATGCACCTTTTTAGAGCTGTTAAGGCTTAGAAATCTTAGTCTGGCAGCCACGAAGCAGAATACTTTCTTGGCCCCTGGAAATTCCCTCATTGGTACAGTGAGTGAGATAACAGCACCCACCCCGGGTCCTTTTAGTCACACACACAAGGCCCTGTGCTCAGAAGGGCCCCACCATTGGTTAATGTTCTGTTGTTGCCATCTTGAAATTCTTGTTAGCATTTGAGTAAGGGCCCCGTGTTTTCAACATGCACTGGGCCCTGCACATTGTGTAGCTGCTCCCATACCTGCCTCAAGGGGCATTGTGAGGAGCCATAGGAAGACGTGTGACATCTACGTTCTCAGGGCTGGCACCTGGTGACACTCTCAGCAGGGTCACCTGTCATCATTTTAGTTCTGCTCAATCACAACCACAGTTGATAATTCACTCTTCTGTTTGCTCAGCTTCATTAACTAAGTGCTGTGGTCAGAGACATTGATCAACTGCTGAAAGCCCTTCTGCAGCTGCTCCTCACCCTCGCAGGGTTCCCAGACCCGGCCAGTCTCCAGATTCACCCCGGGAGCTTGTTAAAAATAGGTTTCTGGGCTGTACCCAACCAGGCCCACTGAATCGGACTCCCCAGGGTTAGGGCCTGCAAGTGTGTATTGGAGCAAGTTCCCAGGTGACTGTCGCCTTCATTAATGCCAGGATGGGAGTTTAGAAACCTCCATCCTGGGAGTTTGAACCCAAGCCTCTTGCGGTGGTGTTTGGTGTCCTTTCCATCTGGCCCTGCCTGCATTTCTCGCTGCGCTTCTGACATGTGCCCTAAACCTCTGGGGAAGTGCTGGCTCTCTCTGACTCCCTGGTGGGGTGCCTTTCACTCCCATGACACCCTGAGGGGCACTGAAGCCTCGTTCCCTTTAACAGAATATATTGTTTCTTCTTTTCATGATCACCAGCACTCAGTTTTTCTTGTTCTCCAATCACATGTTACATTGCACCTTGATTTGTTTCTGCACCTTTATTCCCTGCAGCCTAAGCTGAGGGAGCTCACCTCTATACCCTTAATTAGCAGCAGTAACACACAGAATATTCCGGTTCCCTCCACGCACACCAGTGTACCCAGTGGACACGCTCACTGTACGTGTGTCTGCTGATTCCCCAAAGCCCAGAGCATGCAGCTGGTGCTTGGTTCAGCCTGGCTGGTTTGTGGCTGAGTGTCTGCCATGAGTGCTCACTCTGTGGCTGGCAGGCTGGCAGGCTGGCAGACCCAGTGCTTCCACAGCCCTTGGTGCTCACCTTGCCCCTGGAAGGCCCCTTCTGGTTGCAGCTCCATCCTGTGGGAACAGCCCCTCCCTGGAGAGCCTTTCCTCCCAGGAGTCTTTTATTTTTAGACAAGAGTTTTGCTCTGTCGCCCAGGCTGGAGTGCAGTGGTGTGATCTCGGCTCACTGCAACCTCAGCCTCCCGGGTTCAAGTGATTCTCCCGCCTCAAGCTTCCCAAGTAGCTGGGATCAGTAGAGATGGGATTTCACCGTGTTGGCCAGGCAGGTGTCAAACTCCCAGCCTTTGGTGATCTACCTGCCTCGGCCTCCCAGAGTGCTGGCATTACAGGCGTGAGCCACCGTGCCCAGCCTTCCCAGGAGTCTTTATACACAGCAGCCATTCTAGAAGGTCACACACGTGCTGTGTGAAAAAGGCACCCAGTAACTGACCACTTACTTTGTAGTAAGTGTTCCCTCCAGCAGCCTCTTCCCTTTCGGAAATGACCGGGGTGGCCACAGGTTAGGCTCCGGCGCTGTTGCAGCACAGCCCCCAGTCATCCCACCAAGAGGTTTTGTTGCTGTCTTTTCCCCCAGACCTGTTGGGATTTAAATACTTTTCCTATTTGTTTAATTTTTCTTTTCAGCCTTCACCACAGGCAGCTGGTGACCATGCCAAATGGGTTATTTACTTTTGACTAAATGCTCACTTAGGCTGTGTGTTCTTTGTAAGCTTTAATGGGTCACACCTGAGCCATCAAAGACCGTGCTGTATCGGTCTGGAAGGTACTTTCCTGAGCACCTACTGTGTGCACTGGCTGGTGGGGGACACATGACATAGCAGTTCAGAGCAATGTGCCATTCTGATTTTCAGAAGTCATTAGTCTCCTGGACTCATATGGCAATAATAATTCCCAACACCTTTATTTCCCAAGTGCTTCATGTGCGGTGATCCTCAGCAGCCCTGCGGCCTAGGAATGGAAGCGTTTCTATGGCAAATGGAGCAAACCGAGGCTGGTGTTCAGCCCCTGGGTGTTACAGTCCCGCTGGTGCATTTTACCCAGAGGGCAGAAATCCGGATCAAACTGCCACCCCATACAGTCCCTTGGGCATGTTGTAAGGCTTGGGACACACTTTCTTCCTCTTGGATGTCCTTTCCACTATGGAAAAAAGGTGGCTGCTGATCTCCAGAAACTTCCAAATTCCTTACTTGAGCCTGGTGGAGGAGTCATGCTTGATTGAGAAGGAGGCACTGGCCAGAAGCACCCGCTCTGCCTGCTGCTCCATGCTGTGTTAGTGCTTCCTGAGTCTTGGGAAATGCTCCTTGTAACCTCCTTTCTCTCCTCTGTCTCTCCCACAGGCACATCTCCCTAACGCTTCCTGCCACCTTCCGAGGCAGGAACAGCACCCGGACGGACTACGAGTACCAGCACTCCAATTTGTATGCCATATCAGGTATGTGAGGCCACTGCCGCAGCACCATCTCCTTCCACACGTTCTCTGTCTTCTTGTGGGACCTGTCTCCTTATCTCTCTTTTCTTCCTGCCAGGGGCCTGTTCCCTGCAGGGACCAGGCCTTCCCTTTCCTTTGTGTCGCCACAGCACTTAGAGAAGGGCCAAATACTCAGCATGTTTTGAAACTAATGATGAAAAACAATGTGTGGATTTCACAGGCTTGAAGGGAGGTTTCCAGAGAATACTCGCCACATTGTTCACCTGCCAGACCCGGGCAGGCTTCCCACGGGGCCTCGGGAGCAGTGCCGAGCTGAGCCCCGGTCAGCTCACCCTCCCGTATCCAAGTCTGTCCTCACCTCTCATTTCTCACAGCCAGGTTTGTGGCCAGAGGGTACACTGGCGGTCTCCCCTCACACCCCTGGAGTATGAGTCTGTGGTTTCTGAACTCGGCCTTGAAATTGATAGTGTTACCTTGGCAGGAACTTCATCAGTCCTAGTTTTCCTTCTCACCTTCACCCAGGGAGGGGAAAACTTACAAGCCTTATTACAGAATTGAGATTCATTAGGTGCTTGGCAGTGCAGGTGACTTGCTAAGAGCTGAGGAAACCCACAAACTCGCCTCCGATTATCCTGGGCCGCCAGTCAGGGGTGTTTGTGTATAAGGGGAAAGTGGCAAATTGGTGCCACTTACCGGCACACACCCTTAATGGTGAGTGACATTTTGAACACAGGAACATGGCATTCATTCATGTACCATAATGGATCGGTTATTTAAAAGGTAATCTTTTTTCTAAAAATTGCAACTACAGGTTACTAAATAGATGAAATAGAACAATGGCATAATTCTTGTCAGTATTAGTTTTTCTCGTTATGATCACTCCCTAATAGATTTGGAAGTATAAGCAAAAGCCAGTTGTTCCACTTCTGGGTGACATTCCTGCTGGGAAGGGGAGGGACAGGGATGTTCTTAAGCCCCTGTCCCTGGCTCCACTCCAGGAGCCAGGCCCTCCAAGGGGAGAGGGAACGTGATTGTCTAAGAACAGCATCTCCAGGGAGAAGTTCTTTTGTGCTGTGGCTATTTCAGCAGAGTCGACAAGGAGCATAACAAGTGTGGAAAGATGACCTATTTTGTAGAAAAGCTGAATATTTCCCCAGATGCTTAGTGGCACAGAGGTACAGAACAGGTCTGTGGAATCCAGCAGGGCGCCCCCGTTCAGAAAGCACACAAGGGAAGCTCCATCAAAATGGATGACTTTTTTTCTGCAGCTCGCAAATCTTTTTCCAGCCACAGCGTTCGGCTGCACCCACTTTACCTGTTCTCTGATGGCTTTCCCAGCTGTTGGCGTTTCTGCGGGAAAGAGCCACAGAGTGAAATCTCCTGTGGTTTGGCAGGAACACTGCTGTCTGCCTCTGGACCGCGGCTTCCTCGCCCCGCAGCTTTGATGAGGTGTTGTCTGGGTTCGTTTCAGCTGTTAGTTTAGCAATACCAAGGTAACAGCCTCAAGACACAGGGGAAGCCATTCAGAAACTTCCTGTTACATTTATGTAAGTGGCAGTCAATTGGATTTTATCTTCCAAACAGAGGTAGTTGAGGCTACAGCCCACGGCAGCAGGCAGTTTCAGGCCTCCTCAATGGCTGCAATCACCAAATTGCTCTGCCAGGGTCCAGGACCGCTTCGTTGTGTTGCTGCCAGAAATACCCCGCAGGACCTGCTGGCTCCATAAGGCCTGCAAGCTCAGCACTGGGCAACTATGGCGCAACCGGGAAGCCTGCCCGCCCACCCACTGGCAGCCTGCCTGCGAGTCGTTCTGGCTAGAAGGGAGCAGAGACCACCCCCCTCACCCCCATATGAACAGTATTTGGCACCGAGTGGCCTATCTCAGTTTGGTATTGTGAAGTTAGGGTTTCCAATGGTTTCTTCCAAAAACAGTTAAGGCAAAGTGTGCCCCAGGCCCTAGCCCTTGCCCAGTACCGATGCCTTGATAGCTGGAGTTCTGCTGATAATGAAATGAATCATCAAACCATTCTGCCTCTGAACTGGCCCTGGCACGGGTTCACTGCACACTTCAGGAGCTGAGCCTTTGGTGCAGACCCCTGGCGTGCTCTGTGTCCCTCCTAAAGACATTCGATTACTGCTCCCTTGTGTTCCGTCCCTTCCTAAGAGAAGTAGATTTCAAAACAGTGTAATTAGAAATTTGAAAAACAGCCCACACTTAATGTGTGTGTATGGTTGTTAAAGTGTATTAACTTTTCAGTGTTTTCTCCGCGGCATACCTGCTAGTAGTCCCTTTTCCTATACCTTCCACTAAGACAGTTTGCTCCCACCATGCCTGCAAAGGGTGAGTGTGGCTCAAAGTTGCAAGAGACACCAGTGGAGACCGTGTGTAGTCCCGTCCCTGGCACACAGTGGTGCTTATGACGTGGTTGTGGAAGGAAGGAAGAGATGAAGGGAAGCATTTAGCCTCCTGTCTGCCTTGCACAGGAATACCCTCCCAGACCCCTGAGCCAGGTAGTCCTGCTGATTTGCTGCTTGAATGCCTGCAGTGTCTGGGGCCACCACCTCCCACCAGCTCACCCATCCCTGTGAGATCCCCCCTCGTTAAACTGGGCTCTGTCTTCCTGTTCTTTCACATCCACCCAGCAGTTTGGGATACTGTGCGTTCTGCCAGCCAACATTTGCCAGCTGTTCTACATGGTTCAGTCAATATCTCTCTCTTGCCCACAGAAGTGGGGTGAGGAGCTCTTTCTAACTCAGTGCTGAAATCCTGAGATGCTCGTGGCCTGCGCTGTGCTCTCTTGTAGCCTAATCCAAATGGCCATGAAGCCAGCATCCATCCTCACACTTGTCCTGCCAGTATCTCCTGGAAAATACAGATGTGCAAAAAGATTCATCCACAAGGATAAGCACCACCACTTCCCAAAAATAATACTTCAAGACAGGGTTGGCAGGTGGATAGATCTCAAATGCCCCAAACAAAGATGAATGGTTAAATTACAAAATATCTGTACAGTACCTTAACTTTTCAACCATCCAAAAAGTGATGGCTTAGATGAACAGACATATATGAATATTGTTAAGTGGAAAGAAAAGCAGGTAGCAAGCCAGAATGTGAGTGTGATCTCGTTTTTAAAAGTGCATCTAAGCTGGGAGTGGTGGTGCGTGCCTGTAGTCCCAACTGCTTGGGAGACTGAGGAGGGAAGATCCCTTGCGGCCAGGAGTTCGAGGCTATAAAGCACTATTAAGATGGTCTTTGGTAATAGCTATTTTCTCCTGCCTGGGCAACACAGAGAGATCTCGTCTCTTAAAAAAAATAATAATAATAAGTAATTTTTTTTAATTAACAAAAAAATACATCTAAAGGTCTGGAAAGGTCCACGCCTAAGTGTTTATAGTGGTTTTCTTGGGACTTCCTTTTTTTTTTTTGGCCTCATTGCAGTTTCTCATTTTCCGTAATAGCACGTGTTGCTTTTGTAATAAGAAAAAATGTAGACCTGGGGCTGGGCACGGTGGCTCACACCTGTAATCCCAAAGCTTTGGGAGGCCAAGGCAGGTAGATCACAAGGTCAGTAGTTAGAGACCAGCCTGACCAACCTGGTGAAACCCCATCTCTACTAAAAATACAAAAATTAGCCAGGCGTTGTGGTGGGTATCTATAATCCCAGCTACTCAGGAGCCTGAGGCAGGAGAATCACTTGAACCCAGGAGGCAGAAGTTGGCAGTGAGCTGAGATTGCACCACTGCACTCCAGCCTGGGTGACAGAGCGAGACTCCGTATAAAAAAAGAAAAGAAAAACAAAACAAAACATATATATATATATATATATATAGAGAGAGAGAGAGAGAGAGAGAGAGAGAGAGAGAGAGAGAGACCGACCTGGTGTGAGTGTGGCATGTTCTTGGTAAACCCTACCAGCCTGCAGGATTGCCACTTTTTCCTGAGTGTTCATGAGCCACCTGACTCATAATAAGCTTTCGAAGTTTACTGCAGATCACTTCGACCACAGAACAATAATTTTCTTACTGTCCCTTTTAGAAAATATGATTTTCCCCCCCTGTTATCCAGTCTCCTGAAATTACCTGTTCACTCAAGTTCCTCGTAGATCACTGTAATTCCAGCACTATCCTTGACCTCCTGCTGGCCCTACGGCCGTGGGTTGAGCAGGCAAGCAGCCAGCCGCCCGAGCCTCCTCCCTGCCTTCCTTGCTCTTCACTTCCCCCATCACTGTGTCACTCCATAGGGTCTGAAGATGCATTTCTCTAAAAAGATAAAATGATGGTCACTTGGCTTGGCTCACTCTGTCATCCATCTGGGTTAAGGTCGGCAAACTAAAGTCCATGGCCCAACCACAACCACTGCCTGTTTCGTATGACCTGCAAAATATTAAAGCCAAGGATAGTTTTAATATTTTTAAATATTTGGACAAAAATGAAAAAGAGTAAGATTTAGGGACATGTGAAAATTATATGAAAAACTTTAGTGTTTGTAAATAAAGTTTTATTGCCACAGAGCCATGCCTAGTCCTTTACAGATGGTTTGTTCCTGCTTCACATTCCAATGGCAGAGTCAGGTGTGTGCAGCCAGCACCGGACAGCCCACAAATCCTAAATATTTACTCCCCGGCCCTCTACAGAAAACATTTGCCAACCCCTGGTTAGGGTCATCACTCCTAAGCCATGAATGCTGTGCATTTTTACTCTTTCTTACTCTAAACAAAGTATTTAAAAACAATCTTTTTGGTGGTTATTACCTTGCTGACTGTAGCTTTCCTGGTGCTGGTCTCACTGGTGTGACCCCTGTAGCTTTCTGCTTTTGGTTTTTTGAACATGCCTTTAAGACCTTACCTCATGGCCGGGCGCGGTGGCTCAAGCCTGTAATCCCAGCACTTTGGGAGGCCGAGGCGGGTGGATCACGAGGTCAAGAGAACGAGACCATCCTGGTCAACATGGTGAAACCCCGTCTCTACTAAAAATACAAAAAATTAGCTGGGCATGGTGGCAC